AGAAGACACATATGAAACTTGAAACTTAAGGGCATTTCTTTTCATTTCATGCTTTATACATAAAGTATGTATCGACATCACCAACTAGGGATTAATTTGTACTCCCTCTGCTGGTTCTACAATTCAGACCACTTTCAATGAACAGGCCCTACATAAAAAGTGAATTAAAAGACACCTTGGAAAGTAGATTTAAAACAAAAAACCCAACATCAGATGGCTATTCCCTGCTAAACATCAAAAATAGATCACATTTTCAGTCCATACCATTTAGTGGCCCAATACCAGGTAAACAGTCCCTAACAGCGCCATGTTAGGGTATGTCTTTGCTGGCAGCGCTTTAACGTGGCCGTGTAGTCATGGCACCAGCGCTGGAAGAGAATTCTCCCACCCCCACAAGGGGAGTGGCTCCCAGCGCTGTAGCACTGTCTACACTGGCACTTTAAGTGCTGAAACTTGCAGCGCTCAGGGGGGTGTTTTTCACACCCCTGAGCGAGAAAGTTGCAGCGCTGTAAAGTGGCAGTGTAGACAGGCCCTTACTGTTTTCTTTCCAATGCCAGCAGCCTAAAATGTCATATCATTGGCTATGGCAACAGCACCATCTCATTCATTTTCATTTTGATAAAAGTATATGAGGTAGCAGGAAAAAGGTGGAGGAATGGTTGTCTTTCTCTAGTGTCATTTCCTGCAATAACCCTCTGAAATCAGCATCTCACATTTTTATACAAAAATCCCAAGAGTAACTTGAAGTTTATTCCTGCTGGCAAGGAATAGGGAAGAATTGGAATTATTTTAGAAGAGGGTTTATTTTGTGTGAAATATACTCAGATCTCATGAGCAATGAACCACCTTATAAAATCTAGGCAGACAGACACCAGACTCTTGAACACAAAGCATAAAGGTTCTGCAAGGTCATTTAGAGAGAAAGCTAGTCATGTCCTGTAGTAGAGTTGTAGCTGATTTTTGACTGTCACAAAAAGTAGTCAGTGGGGTGGATTGGGAGGCTATCAAGGGAAAAAACAGTTTCATGAAGTTAGGCCTAATGCACTGGACTATGAATTCAGTTTTCAACTAGGATGGAGAAGGGAAAGTCACAAAGGAAGCCAAAGGGAGGTTGTGCAGACCCTGTGGTTAACAATGGAAGTGAAACCTTCCCAAACAGTCAAAGTTTCTAAGACCTTATCTGGAATACTGTGGACAACTCTGCTCACCCACATTCAAGAAAGATGAATTCAAATTGGAACAGGTACAGAGAAGTCCTACTAGGATGATAAGGGGAATGGAAAATCTATCTTATGGGAGGAACCTAAAAGAGCTCGGCTAGCAGAGCTTGGCAAAACAAAGGCGGAGAGGGAAAAGGATTGCTCTTTCTAAAATACATCAAGTGGGTAAACAGCAGGGAAGGAGAAGAGCTATTTAAGCTAAAGGACAACTCTGGCAGAAGAACAAATGAGGATAAACTGGCCATGAGTAGATTTAAGATAGAAATTAGAAGGTTTCTAAACATTTAAGGAATGAGGTTCTGGAATAGGCTTAATAGCTTATACTTAACTTTATAAGAAGGAACAAGCTGAAAAACTAAAAAACAAAACAACAACAAAAAAACATAACATCTTGGACTGTGTCCGCTTTGCTTTATTATTCCCAAGAATTCATTCCAGCATTCCTGGCATATCACTACCTATCACTAGGGTGCAGAGAGTACCACATCTATATGTTGTTAGCCAAGTGCAGCTTAAAAAGTGAAGTACGAACTTGCTAACTTTAAAAGCATAACAAGAAAAATGACTATAATACATATAATTGCATATTAGATCAAGCCATTTAGAAACATCCAAGCAAAGCAAAGTTACCTGACGACGACAGCCAACCACATATCTTGGTCCATTTGTAGCTTTCACAATGACTAGAGAAAGAGAAAATGACAGAGAAAACAAGATCACACTCTTTTTAACCCCCCTAATTGCTAGTGCAAAATAAGTTGCAATTATACCGTATTTTCAGAGTGATGTCTAATTAATAATGCTCTATTTCATTTTTTTTAAATCATAATTTAATTGGCTTATTTTAAAAACCAGAGGTTTCAAAAAAGTAAAACATATCAGCTAGGGAACTTACATTTCTCTTCTGTTAACTGCTTAAGAACCTCACCAACAATCTATGAAAAAAATTGAAACAAGTATTAGCTACATCTATGAAATTATATTAGTATATAGAATATTTAACATAAATTCACAGCTCCATCTCTGCCAGTCACCTTCTACTCCCTTTTTTTGCTCCATAGGAAAAGCCTACTATTCTATTTCTTTCTCACTGCCCCATACACCAGGAACAACTGTTAAAAATACACCTACTCTGTGTACGTACCTCCTGTAAAGACCACACCATAGCACAAATTTGCTCTGATGGTATCATATCCCATTTATATCCTTCAATTTAAAATCCATCTGTGGTAATAACTTGCTACGCACAGTTCACCTACCGCACAGTGCCATACACAGTTGTGTCATTATTGCTTACCTGTCCAACACTTTGCAAAGCCTTGAGGTCATTTTCAGATTTTTCATACTGCTTGGTAAGCTCTTTCAGTTGTTCCCTTACTAAAAGAAAAGAAAAGGATTTGGTATGCCTTTAATCCACTAGAAACCAAGTGCAAGGGCTGGCCAATTTGCAGAGTAGATATAACTGCATTTAACAGTTTCTGGGTAAAGTCAATACAGGAGAATGAGCAATGAGCTATTCTTGCTAGTAGCAGTAACTCTATCCCAGAACAGATACCCAGCCATTAACTCTGGCTTGCAGACCAGGTATCCTAGGCTAAGGCCAGCACAAAATCTAGGAGAATGCTAATGGGAAAAACAAGGGTCTTCAATCGCTTGTCAATACGCCTATATCCCTGCCCCTGGGTGAATAGTGTTAGCTCAGCTGGGCCTAACCCCTCCCTGCCCAATAACCAATGGGGGGAGGGGGGGGCTGGAACACTTGGGCCCAGCCATGTCCCCCCAGC